TGTGTGTGTGTGTGTGTGTGTGTGTGTGTGTGTGTGTGTGTGTGTGTGTGTGAGAACACACTCTCTGGATTGTCAGAGTAGTTGAGGTGAAGGCCAAAACAGATTAAAATGCCTTTAACAAGTCAAACTACTTGAGCAGCGGCCTGGATGATTCGTCTTTGCACATTTTATTTAATCAGTTTTTGGATATTAAAGGGCAGATTTCTATTAGATTTTAGGTACTGATTGTTGGAATTTATAGATTTAAACATATATGTACACTGCTGTTCAAAAGTTTGGGATCAGTAAGTTTCTTTATGTTTTTTAAAGAAGTCTCTTCTGCTCATCAAGGCTGCATTTATCTGATCAAAAATATTGAATAAATACAGTAAAAATGTTGAAATATTTTTACAATCTAAAACAGCTGTTTTCTATGTGAATATCTGTTAAACTGTAATGTATTTCTGTGATGCGCAGCTGTATTTTCAGCATCATTACTCCAGTCTTCAGTGTCACATGATCTTCAGAAATCATAATAATATGTTGATTTATTATCAATGTTGAAAACAGTTGTGCTGCTTAATATTTGTTTGGAACCTGTGATACTTTTTCAGGATTCACAGATGAATAGAAAGTTCAAAAGAACTGCATTTATTTGAAATAGAAATCTTTTCTAACAACATAAGTCTTTACTGTTGCTTTTGATCAATTGAATGTGTCCTTGATGAATAAAAGTATTAGTTTCTTTCGGAAAAAAAGAAAGAAAAAAAATGTACTGACCTTAAACTTTTGAACGGTTTTATATATATATACATATCATTTTTGTTATTCTTGGTCTTACATCACTAGCTGCTCTCACTCAGGTCCTGTAGAATGTCATGTTTTTCCTCCGATCATTAGTATCAGCTGCTTGCTGTATGTTAAGATTTTTAATTGCTTTTCTTCTCTTTATCTGTTCATTCATTCATTGTCACTCAGTTCCGGGTTAACATCAGTGCGCCACCTACAGGATCAGTACCACAAACACACACAAATAAATAATGCGCAGCGCTGAACTCATACGTCATCCGCCCGGAACTGCTTCTGTGTACAACTGCTGGCGCAAGCTAGATTAAAGTGATTATTACGTTTTGAATATGGATATTTTTCTTACAAAAACGCATCAATTCGCTACAGGAGGCCTTTGTTCACCCCCCGGAGCCGTGTGAGACACTTTTTTTTGTGGATGGGTGCTTTTTATTTCACGTCTTTTGAACAGAAGGAATGCAACACCCGCTGAGTGCAACGATAGAGCTTGAAAGATCAAAGACAATTTTTAATATAACTCCGACTGGATTCGTCTGAAAGAAGAAAGTCATATACACCTAGGATGCTTCAGGGGTGAGTGAAACGCAGCCTAATTTTCATTTTGCGGTGAACTAACCCTTTAAAGCTCATCTGTGAATCCTGAAAAATAAAATGCATCACAGTTTCCACAAAAATATTGTACAGCACGACTGTTTCCAGCATTGATAATAATCAGAAATGTTTCTTGAGCAGCAAATCAGCATATTAGAATGATTTCTGAAGATCATGTGACACTGAAGACTGGAGTAATGATGCTGAAAATACAGCTGCGCATCACAGAAATACATTACAGTTTAACATATTCACATAGAAAACTGCTGTTTTAAATTGTAAAAATATTTCATAATTTTTACTGTATTTTTGATCAAATAAATGCAGCATTGGTGAGCAGAAGAGACTCTTTCAGAAACATTGAAGATCTTATATTTGAGAGGTGTGTGCTGCTGTAGAGATCTGAGTGAAGATCAGTGAAACGCTTGTGTTCGATTGCTGTCGGTCTGGTCTCATTCCTGACCCGTCGGTCTCCGCTGTTCTCATCATGGCTCTGTGGAAGAGAAAGCTTCAGATCTCCTCCAGACGTAAGAGGAAAGCTCCTGCTGAGTAAGAGTATTGAGCTGAGTATTGATTTCTGTGGGTTTCTGCTGCACCATCCGTTCATTAGATCGTGAGTCTCCTGCGGGCCGTGAGTGTTTTCTGTGTCGGACACACACTTGTTTCGTGTGTTTTATGTCTGTGGTGTGTGTGGCTGATGGCTGAGTTGTTTGGATCAGGATGCTTCAGTGTAGCTCTGGCTGTCTTGCTTTTTGAAGATGTGAAAGATGTGGGAATCTTATAAAAGCAGGTCATATTTCATAAAATATCATATCATATTTTTGCAGAAAGTGAAGCCTATTTTTAGGACTGTTGAGATGTTTTCTGTTGTGACATTACTTTCATGACAATTCCCCCAAAATTTGGATGTTCTTTTTTCTTCTTCTTTATAATTCTTATTTTTTTCTCAGTGTGGATTGTCATTAAAATATTTAATAAATATTTAAGTAAATATTTGGTTACTGTATTACAAATAAAAACTTTAAAACAAAAAGTTCTTTATTAATGCATTTTTTTTGGGGTTTAAGTATGGTCTATGATGAATCACTCATTGTTTTCCTAAGTCGCTCTGGATAAAAAATGTAAATATATATTAACTTGACCTGAGCTAAACTAGATTGAGATCAGCTGTTGTTATGATTTCAGTCACGTGATACAGACGTTATCGCGGTTTACTATCTTC